ACTTACCAAGGGTAGAAGCGAGTGGTTGGAGTGATGTTTTAATCGGGGTAAACGTTTTTGGAATAGTTATCATTGTAACAATTTTTATTTTGTGGTTGATCTATCATTTTCTTTCAAAAAGACAAGAAACTCAAAATGATGTTGAAAACAATAAGTCATCGAATAAAAATAAATTGGAGGAAGTAGGTCAAGTAGATAAGAAACCAATGAGGTTAAAGAAAGGCAAAGAGGTAATCAGTCAGCTACAAGAAATACATAAATCGGGAACTAAAAATCAAGAATAAATTTGAAGAACTGAGCTCAGCAGAATTTAGAAAATGAAATCTTGATCAAGTGGATTAAGAAAAGGGGCCTTAATCAGTAGAATTAGGAAAAAAGGGATCATGATCAGAGAAAAAAAAAGATTTTTAGGTAGTAGAATTAAGGAAAAAACGTATGAATTATAGGATGAATGGTGTATGTATGCGGAAGCGGAAGTTGTATGAAAGGGAAGAAGTAATTTTAAGAAAAACACATGTTTTTTGTGAATTTGACATAAGACTATGTATTTTGGGGAAAGATAACTCTTACTTTTTTTTGTACACTCAGGTGAAGTTTACACTTCGTATAGAGTTAAGTTTCGCGGTGTAATGCGACGACTATGCAGTATTGCATTAGTCGTGAATCTTGTAAAATAGTTTTAGGAGGAAAAAAGGGGTGAAAATAAATGAAGGCATAAAGAATGTGTATTTGTGTATTTTGTGAAACTTCTAAGCATGTGTCTGCGTATTTTTTTTTTATGTTCTAGTGGTTGGCTCGTCGTCCCCGATGGTTCCGAACGTTGAAGAGTACTTCGTCGTTGGGTTGGCCAAATGTCGAGGTCGACATTTATCAATGGTGGGGAGTGTCGCGAGAGCGCCCTCCTAGGCAGAACACCCTGTACCTGCTTCATGCTTCCACCTTCACTCAACCAACGGCGGTGTGCTGTCCTGAGTCGGGCCAGGTAGCCGTGCGGACAGAGTGTCTATATTCTAATCCGCATTCGCTTGCCGGTCGTGGGTTCGAGTCCCGTCGACTGCAGAAATTTTTCTGATGGCCCAAGAAAGTGTTTGGGATCACAAGTTAAAAGGTAAGGCCCCCGTCATTCCTTGCTCGCACAAGACTCTCGAAGACTTCTGAGGGTTGCTTGTAAGGGGGCAACCGAATGACGGATAAAACAATTTTAGAACAATTTTAGAGTCAGCAGGATTCTCAGCGTGCGGGGCACGGAGGGAGACCACGCAGCTCAAGCCCACGTCAATCATTTTATTGCAATGTGAATGCATTTTGTATAATTAACAATTCAGTTGTACTGCTACCACATAACTTGTAACATCTATCAGTCAACTCCCCAATACACCCCTTTTTGCCGACACTGTTCTAGTTATTGAACTACCATAGCTACGACCCCATACCCCTACGTCACAATATGTTTGCATCTTTTTCCTCCCCCCCCAATACTGAAACCTGACTAAGCCTGTGCAATCAGCTGATCATTAGGATCATTATTTTATGTGACTCAATAAAAAGCGTTTGTTCCGTTTTTCTGGTTTGTTGTCGAATTATTGTATATTATATCCTCAATATAGATGATGGATTATTCAATTTTGATTATATTGAGTAAGTGTCAATCCTATCAAGTGTTTTGAATGTCATTATTAAATGCATAGATAGATAGATAGAATTTATTTAAACACGTTACACAAAAAAATTCTATGTTTGTAGCAAGTCAGATACAAGATACAAGTAGTGTTATATTGTTAAGCTCACATATTAAAAATAAAAAGAACATGGAAGTTAACAAATTACAAGTTTAAAAATCTAAAATCACAATATTAAAATGTTCCATAAGAGAAAAAAAAGTCAATACACAAGTAATGAACACACTAAATGAAAGACAACAAACAAACCAAATTTGGACAGCTAAGGAGATGTGAGTTGTTTGTGAATGCGAAAATGCTCTCTGAAGTCATCGACTGAGTAGAAGCAATGTCTCAATAGATACTTTTTAAGTTGTTTCTTGAAGGAATTCACACTGAGCACTCTGAGATCCTGTGGCAAAATATTATACATAGAAAAATCTAGGGTATTTTTTTTTGGATAATTGAAGACGATATCGATTCAGTCTGATCTGATGACATTTTCTTGTGTTATGTTCATGAATATGAGATTGTTTTATCATACATGACTGCTTTTTGTGCATCTCAACTATAGCACAGTATATATATAGAGTTGGCAGTGGCATAATTCCAAGTTTTTCGAAATATTCTTGGCAGTGATCCCTGTATCCGATTTTAGCTAGAATTCTCAAAGCCTTTTTTTGCATCCTAAAAATGTGTATAGCATGACATGAATTTCCCCATAGTTGTATACCATAGCTCATATGAGAGTGAAAGAGGGAGAAATATGTGGTTTTATGTGTACTGGTGCTGGTGAATTTTTTCAACTGTCGAAGAACAAATAAAGAACTTGAAAGTTTCTTTTTTAATACAGTAATATGAGCAGACCAGCTGAGTCTACTATCTAGTGTAATGCCAAGCAGTTTAAATTGATTACTCTCAAAGTTAGAATCAGTTTGATTGTTAGCAGAAATTTGAATGCATTGAGTCTTATCGCCGTTAAGTTTAAGCTTATTTGATAAAAACCACTGATTAGCACTATTCGAAACCTCGTCAACCGTAAGCTGTAAGTTATCATTATTGGTATTTGGTAATATAAAAGTAGCGGTATCTGCAAAAAGGACTGATTTGAACGGTAGCATATTATTGCACAAGTCATCAACGTATGTGATGAATAAGAGAGGTCCCAGAACGGATCCTTGCGGAACACCGTGTTTGACTGTTTGAAAGTTTGACATAGTGCCATTGCACATTACTGCTTGCTGACGATTTGTTAGATAAGTTCTTATTAATTGAAGCGGAATACCCCTAATCCCATAATAGTTCAATTTTTCCAACAGGATCTCATGTGAAACGCAGTCGAACACTTTGGTCAGGTCACAAAGCATCAACGCAATTTGATTTCCTTTCTCCAGTTCCTCAACCACTCCTGTCACAACATCGAACACTGCTTGAATTGTTGAGCGCGAGTTTCTGAAGCCATACTGGGATTCGCTGAAGAAGTTGTTATTTTCAAAGTATGCGTACAACTGCTTCTTGATTAATTTTTCCAAAACTTTGCTGAATATTGAAATTATGCTGATCGATCGGTAGTTATCCAAAACTGTTGCATCACCTTTTTTAAATATGGGTAGTACTTTAGGATGTCTGGAAAAATGCCTGTATTAAAAATTAAGTTGAACTATGATATGTGAAGTTTCTTTTAGTATTTGGCAATTCAGTTCATGGGTATCCAAGCATATTGAGTTTTTCAATGAATATATCTCTTCTAGAACATCTGCTTCAAGAACAGGACGCAAGAAAAAAGCACTACATGGAGCAGGAAATTTTTTAAATGTTAGTAGATCCTCGTTAGAGACATTTGGGAGTGTGTTTATGATATTACCTGCTATATTACAGAAAAAATGATTCACCTTATCAGGTGATATTTCAATTGATGAATTCAGTTTAACCTTATTTCTTTCGAAATTTATGATTTTCCAGCACGCATTTGGTTTGTTGTCAGAAGAAGAGATGTATTCATCGTATGCCTTTTTCTTTGAGAATGTTAATTGAAAATTATATTCTTTTCTGACTAGTTTGTATGCTTTCAAGTCGTTCGGATCTTTCGTTGCATCTGCTAATTGTTTTATGCAATGCATGTTATTCCTTTGCATCTTCAGATCTTCTGTAAACCATTGTACTGGTGAATTGTTTGTATTTTGCTTGCATTTTCTCAGAGGAAAACATTTTTTTGATAGATTGTTGAAATTGTTGACTAGAAAGTTGGCTAAGAAGTTTGGATCAGTATGTACAGTGGAATATATTTGCCAATTTATATCACACAGGGATTGTTCAAAGTTAGTCATACCTTTATCCGATATATGTCTTTTATATTGTAGTTGCATTTCACTGCAATTGAGATTCTCAAAATTTAATTTAGCAAACTGTCCTCTATGATCTGATAGACAGGGCTCATAGACACCAGTAGTGATGATATTTTCAGATATATTCGTTATGATATTGTCAATACAGCTAGAAGAAGTAGCTGTCACTCTAGTATCCTCTGTAATTGGCAGATAGAGACCAAAAGAAGTTAGCAAACAGGTGAAGTTAGTAAGAGCAACTGAATTGACATTGAAATTTATGTTGAAATCACCTAAAATGACAATTCTTCCATATTTATCTGTTATTTGATGTAAAGCATTCTCAAAATTCGTAAGAAAGAGATCAATATCTCCCAGACCAGATCTATATACAAGTACAACTACTGTTTTCAAAGTGGTAAAGTATAATGCAGTAAGCTCACAATCTTGCTCAATAGTGAATTCTTTCAAGTCAATGATATTGTATTTCAGATTATATTGGTATTTGATATTCAGGTAAATGGCTAAGCCACCATGTCTTTTGCTAGTCCTACAAAATAGGCCAACTAATTTATGATTATGGATATTTATTTGTTTTAGGCACTCTTCAGTCTGCCAATGTTCAGAGAAACATAGAACATCATAATCATTGTCATTTAAAAAGTCATTAATTTTATCAACTTTGTTAGGTATACCCTGAATGTTTATGTGAAACATACTCACAAAACTCCTGTGATCCAAATTACCATTTGACACAGAATAAGGTGTATTACGCTTATTCGATATATTGTCATGATTAGCAAAATGTTTACCAGCAAGATGATAATCGAAAGGTTTACAAGAAGTTATTTGTGTTAGTTGGGAAGACTCTCTGTTTGAGGGTCCACCTGTTTTGGTAGCACCCTCTTCTTCAGGAAAAACTTGGACACAACTGCTCCACTTGGCCAGATCTCTCTCTTCCATGCATTTCGCAGATCATCCTGTCTTATTTGCACCTTGAAAGAAGCATACAATTCAGGTCGCAGTGATTGATGTACCTCACACTGAACAAAGGGTAAGTTAGGTTCCAGGTAGGCTTGTAAATCTTCAGGTTTAATGTCCGGAGATATTCTAGTCACATGCAATGAGGTATATTTGGGTACAGAGCGTATGATACTACTCTCTTCATTTTTCCCAATAACAAATCTACGTCTACGTTTTACAGATTGCCAAGGTTGGTTCCTGGCCTGTGAATCATTTACATTATTCACATCACAATTTCCTTGACCCAGCTGAATAATTTCATCCATTTTGCTTAGGGTTTGTGCTTGTGAGATCCCTTTATGCAGCTGCTGAGTGGTGAGAGGATTTGGATTTGAAAAGTCTTTTTTGTTGACATCAAGACTTTTAAAGTTAGTTGTGTTAATTGCTTCTTCTTCTGTGCCTGCACAGTCTTTAATTGTTGGTGCTTGTCAATCTCAGTGAGCTGAGGTTTTTGTGCAGCTAACTTCGTTCTACTCCGAGATTCGCGTATCTGACCTTGAGTATTTGTTGATGTTGGTAGAGACTTTGTATTTGTAACCGAATTTTTTGCTATGTCAGCGAATGTTTTTGTAGGTGGACTCACTTCTTCTTCTGTTGATTTCTGGAAGATGTCTTCATAATGTCGAATTTTATCTTCTAGGGACCAAATTTTTTCCTGCATCAGGTCTTCATTTTCTTGCATTTGCAGTACCAGATGAGTCAGATGCTTATTATTTTCTTTTAGAGCCGAGAGTAGTGGAGACACTTGTGAGTCTCCATCTTCAATTTCTTCATCACAGCAAGAAGGACATGTTAACATGTCGACACCCACGATTTTCAAACCATTAACTCTCACAGCACAGGCAGGATGATACTTCCTATCACATTTTATGCATCTCGTATTTCCTTCAACGCCTCTACTACAGTAGCTACAGTTCTTTTCAGAGACTGGTTCATCTGATGAACCGCCACTTGCCGCCATCTTGACTGACATATGTTAGGTATCTCATAAAGTTATCATAATAATTGGAGTGGCTCTATCTCCTCAGTAGCATAATTATCATGTTCAACTCATGCGTTGCTATAAAAAAAATCTTAGGTTATGTAAATCTGTCTATTATAGAAGTAAATAACAATAAGGTTTCAACTACAGCAATGACTGTACCAAAAAAATAATGAGTTATGTTATCGGATTCCACTATAAGCTGTAGGTCCCGCTCTTCCTAACCCCGCACAAGTTTCGACTTCTGGGGAGTTGGTTCCCATCTTTGAAGTAGCGATATACAAATTTTACTAATTTTACAAAAAAAAATCACGTTATCAAACTATATATGGATCATGTTATAAACTCATGCAACAGTATTTCGTTCCTCATCCTCCTATGAAGGAAGAATCCTGGTATCAAGCAAGGCCACTGATAATTGATGAAGAATTTCAAATTGCAGGAGTACCTACTTCACAACAGAGGAATCCATTTTTAAAAATGCTAGCCAAATAAGATGTAGATGTAGATACTAGTTGGTAAGCTCACTCTGAGAAGATTCATCATGGAAGAAGAGGTGTGTCTGTTTGATATGATATGATATGATACATGATACATGATACATGATACATGATACATGATACATGATACATGATACATGATACATGATACATGATACATGATACATGATACATGATACATGATACATGATACATGATACATGATACATGATACATGATACATGATACATGATACATGATACATGATACATGATACATGATACATGATACATGATACATGATACATGATACATGATACATGATACATGATACATGATACATGATACATGATACATGATACATGATACATGATACATGATACATGATACATGATACATGATACATGATACATGATACATGATACATGATACATGATACATGATACATGATACATGATACATGATACATGATACATGATACATGGTACATGATCCATGATCCATGATCCATGATCCATGATACATGATACATGATACATGATACATGATACATGATACATGATACATGATACATGATACATGATACATGATACATGATACATGATACATGATACATGATACATGATACATGATACATGATACATGATACATGATACATGATACATGATACATGATACATGATACATGATACATGATACATGATACATGATACATGATACATGATACATGATACATTATACATGATACATGATACATGATGCATGATGCATGATGCATGATGCATGATGCATGATGCATGATACATGATACATGATACATGATACATGATACATGATACATGATACATGATACATGATACATGATACATGATACATGATACATGATACATGATACATGATACATGATACATGATACATGATACATGATACATGATACATGATACATGATACATGATACATGATACATGATACATGATACATGATACATGATACATGAAACATGATACATGATACATGATACATGATACATGGTACATGATACATGATACATGATACATGATACATGATACATGATACATGATACATGATACATGATACATGATACATGATACATGATACATGATACATGATACATGATACATGATACATGATACATGATACATGATACATGATACATGATACATGATACATGATACATGATACATGATACATGATACATGATACATGATACATGATACATGATACATGATACATGATACATGATACATGATACATGATACATGATACATGATACATGATACATGATACATAAATAAATAAATAAATAATAAATAAATTTACTTTTATTATACATTCTACATCTCAACAAGGGTCATATTCGATTACTATGAGATTAATAATAGGGGTCACAGCCTGCAGTTACTATCACGAATGTACAAAAGGTAAAGTTCATCCGAAAGGATAATTCTCAACTTTACCTATTCAACTGTAAGGAAGAAAAATAATTGTAACAAATAAAAATAAACATGGAGTCATAAAAAATAGGTACTTCAATAGTGCATAGAAAAAAAAATCAGTAATTGCCTAAACTTATATCACAGTTTAGATTTCACATTTCTCTTGAAAGCTTGCAAACTAGTGATTTCACTTCCTGAGTTTTGATTCATTATGTTCGGAGCAATATATGAGAAGCCATATTTGAGGAAGTTTGTAGTATGATGAGGTATATTCAGATGCATTTGATAGCGAGTATCTCTATCATGTATGTCGTTCCTGAATGTGAGCTTTTTGTATAGATATCCAGGTGACTTTGTTTTATAAACATTGAATATGAAAGATGAAATATGCAATTGCCTTTTTTCATTCATTCTCATCCACCCAATATTGTTAATAATTCCACTAGTACTTTCTCTACGTCGCAAATTGAAACAGAATCGAATACATGCATTTTGTACCCTTTGAATCTTAGACTTGTTAGCTTCTGTCAAAAATGGAGCATAGACACAGTCACAGTAATTGAACAAGGATAACACCAAAGAGTCACTGAATAAGATTTTAGCTCTAGTCGATAGCACATTTCTGATTTGATAAAGATGTTTCAGTTTCATGAAGGCACATTGAAATTTAAGTCTTATGTGTTCATTAAACGATAACTGTTCATCCATTCGTAATCCCAAATTATTAATACACGTCGAATAGGGCACAATCACATTTTTGATAGCAACATTACCAGTTTCTTTCACTGCTGTTATAGCGTTTTTTGATCCAAAAACAATTACTTGAGTTTTTGTAGGGTTAACTGATAAACCGTTACTGTAACACCAATCTACAATAGAATCAACTTCAGTGTTTATGGTATTGAAAACATATCCAATTTTGTCTTGTGCGAAACTGTATAAATATTGTATGTCATCAGCATACATATATAAACAACCTTCTCGAACATGATTTGGTAGATCTGCTGTGAATACATTGAAGAGTACTGGTCCTAGTATCGATCCTTGTGGAACACCTGATTTGATGTCTGTTGAGTCAGAAAAATTTGTAGTGCCTGCTGTTGTTATCCTAGTTGAACATTTGCGTTGGTGTAGGTAATTAGTGAACCATTTCTGTGTCTCATCTTTGATTCCGTAGTATTGCAGTTTGGACAGTAACAGTTCAAAGCTGACAGTATCAAATGCTTTAGACATGTCAATGAGTACTACAACCGTAGCCATACCTCTGTCTCGTGCTATGACAATATCATCTGTTATCGAAGACAAGGCTGTTCCTGTACTAAACCTTTGCGGAAACCAGATTGGTTGGGAGGTAAAACATCATATCTCTGGAGGTGTGCAGACAGCTGGAAGTTAACAGATTTTTCTAATATCTTAGAACCCACCGGAAGTATTGAAATTGGTCTAAGATCTTTCATCTCAACGGGTTTATTGTTTTTTGGTATGGGTTGAATGATAGCAGTTTTCCATATGCCAGGTATAAAACCACTTTCTAGTGAAATGTTTATGATATGAGTTAATGGCAATAAACAGAATGGAAGCAAGAGTTGAAGCATATACGTTGAGATTCCATCTATTCCTATGGCTTTCGATTTGATATTGAGAAGTATTTCCTTAATTTCGTCTGGGGTGTTCATTCTGAACTCAAAACTTGGATAGTGGCTGTCCGTTCTGAAATTTTCGATGATATCTTGATTGATGGAAACTTGAGGAATTGATGATTGGAAATATGTATTGATTAGTTCTACATCAGATAATGTTTCTGGAATTTGTATATCCTTCTGTGACCAGAAACCTAATTTCCTTGCTTCACTCCATATATCAGCTGGTTTCTTTCCTTGCAACTTAGAATTGTAGTATGCTTCCTTCTCTCTCTCTATTGCTTTCCTGACAACCGTTTTCATCTCATTGTAAAATTCTTTAGCTGTGTTAGTTTGCTTCTTCAGATATTCTCTCTTGGCTTTCTCTCTTTCTTTTATCAGACATTTGATACCAAACGTTATGTATGGCAGTTTATGTTTTCGAAATTTGACTGGTGTATGTGGTGCGTGTTTGTCATACAATGAGAGAACAATATCATTGAAC